CACCGAGATGTTTCAGTACCTCGGCGATTTCGTATAAAGTAGTCAGGGCCGGCTCTACTATATAGGCGACCGCCTAGGGCGCCAAGGCCCGAGGGGCGCATCCCGCATGGACGATTTATCGTAAAATCATTTTGCCAAAATGGGTGGAAACAAAACCCAAAAATGCTGTTGTATCGGTTGCGTCCGGAGAAAGAAGCTTTTCAAAGCTGAAACTGATTAAGACATCTCCGGTCATCAATGACACAAGAGAGATTAGTAGGACTAGCTTTAATTGCCATTGAACAAGAAATAGCACAAAGTATTGACCTTGCTGGTTTTGTTGAAGCATTGGCTAAAAAGAAATCCAGGAATCCGTCATTTCACAAAAAGCCAAATCCGAGGCTTCATCATTTAGTGAAACGCTGACAATTTGACGTGTGGAGTAGTTTCCCTTCTCCTTCTAGATCGAAAAGGGATATCATTTATCGATCTCGAAGGGGAAGGGAATCCATTTGCCTGGCCCCTTAGAAAGTACACTGTGCCACAGCGACGTCGGAAGTATGGGTCAGAGGGGTTTTTACACAAGGGGGTCCGCGCCCCCTCTAAGAATGAGTAGATAAATCACTCAAAAGCGACTATCTTCTACTGCATGTGCATGCAGAAATTACAAAAAGTGTAGAAGTAGAGGATATATTGAAAGAATTTGCCAGCAAAACTGCGGAAAGGCGGAAAATTTTTGGATATATTTAATTTTTTATACTTGCTTTTCTTTACAATGTTCAACAGTGCAATAAATAGGAACAACATTTTTGTAACTTTTGTGTGTTCTAGATCTTCATTATTTTTTAAATAAAATATTAATGATCTAATGGGTATGGTATTCTCAATCGAGTCAAGTATCTCTGAGTTGCATATCACTAGACATCATCCGACACTTTTTTTAAATTTTTTCAAAACTTTTCTTTCAAAAATACATTATTTGATTGATTAAATAAATAGGTTGCAGGGTCACTTAAAAAACCACTACTTTGCATTCGTACACAATTTTGCATGGGAGGGACCTTTTAGACTCCATGGTCGCTGATCCCCCCCCCCCCCCTCCGTTATTTACTTCCGACGTCGCTGCTGTGCCACAGTTTTATATAAATGACTAGGCGCTTCGTGAAATGACGGATTTCACTAAAACTCGATGACATACAAAGAATTTTTCTCAAATGTATACATATGGGCTATGTGCCCGCAAGCTGGCTCGTGTCGCAAACGTACACTTTCTTAGTTATAAGCGCCGTATCATGCTTGTACTACTATCACGCGAGATGTGCGAGAATTTTAGAATGGAATTAATATTAATACAACAATTGCCCACTACCTATTCACCTTTCGTCACTGGCGCGCGGACTCATGCTCCGCAGGCATCTTGAATCACGTGTTACCGTTCATTCCCCCACCATATGTATGACTCCACCATTCACAGTATTCCTCAAGAACTATTCAACCAGTACTTCTTTACAACTTGGAGTGCGTAGGTGTATGTATTTAGTGTTTAGAAGTGATTGCGGAGTCGCAGTCCGCGGCGATGCGCTGATCGACAAAAAGGACGAAGATTCGCGATAATTTTTATTCTGTAGTCACAATAGCGTTATCTTTTTTTAAGAAATAAAATATAATTTGTGTTAGTTTTAACCATTGCGGTAGGGTAAATTCGAAAATTATCGCTTACTTTTTCAAATTCTACTAGTAGTCCAGTCAAATTAGCGCAATTTTGGACAAATAAAAACATTAATCGGTAAAGATCTAAATTTTGGTATACACATTTATTGGGACTTTCTATTGAACATACTACAAGTCCCTGTCAAAATCTGTTGCGCTCGAGACGCCATCTTGGAAAAACGGTACACTTTTCCAGTTTTTTGCCCATGTCTCGGCAACAATGACTGATACGAAGAAATAGTTTACATGAAAAATATAGTTTACTAAATTCCCTATAAAAAAAGAGTATTTACATTTTTTTGTATCTCCAATACTTTAGCTGTAATCTCACGTTGAATACGTCAGAACGCGTTTAGGCCCCGTATCGTAGTTATAGGAAGGAGGCCGTCTTTTTTATGACTACACCGAAAGCTGTAAAAGCACCAAAAAATGAACAGAATCGTCTTGCGATAAAGCATTCTAGCAATGACATAATGTTTGATGATACGGCATCATGTTTTTTTTTCAAAAAGGTAAGCGAAAATGATTAAAATTGTTGGAGCCACGAAATGATTTCTGAAGCTGGAGAACGCCCTTCTCTGCATATAACGTGTCTGCTAGTGAGAGATATTTAAACCGACATCGTTACCAGACCTTCAGAAAATACGCGTACAAGGGTCAGCCGAATCTACCACTGTTACCCCCTAGGGCTGCAGCGGCGCAGCAACACACGTTTCGTATTAATCAGCAAGTTCAGAAATTCCATGGATATGGAAAATCTCCCGAACTGTGGAGTTGAAGGAGAGTCCACGATTTCCTTGACCCTGTTCGGACATTGAAGGCTCCAGGACCTAAAACAGCTGTAAAAGAATTAAAAAGGCGCTTTGGAGATTTGGAAACATTTTTTGATAGTGAAATGCTGAAAACGATTGTTGAATGCACCAACAAACATATAGAAACCGAAAAAGAGAACTACACGCGTGAAAGGAATGCAAAAGAAACGGACGTAGTTGAAAACTAATAAGTTTACTCTATTTGGCAGGTGTGCTCAAATCAAGTCGTCTAAACACCGAGGAATTATGGAACAATAACGGAACAGGTGTTGAACAATTTCGATTTACTATGTCAAAATTTCGTTTCCAATTTCTACTTCAACGTCTGCGTTTTGATGATATTGCTACGTGCACAGAAAGGCGAAAAATAGACGAACTTGCCGCTATCAGAGACTTGCTATAACTAGACTGCGCGTAACGTATCTAAGGTGTTGTCGACACAGTATGCAACACACAATGCACCGCGGGGCAAAAATCGCTGAGATGATATGCAATATAATGAAATAAGCTGTTATTTTAGATGTTCCGTTCATTAATCATTCTCGTGATTAGCTCGAATTAGTGAACAGATACATTTCTGTTGAGAATTAAACCCATATAGCACACGATGTCCATTGGATATCCATTTTGTTTCCATGATACATCCAGTATGTCCATGGATATCAGACGGACATTCATTGAATATACTTTATTGTAATTCCTATGGACAAATGCGGATGTATGTCCATTGGTTATCCTTCCATGTTATTACTTTGACGAAAGATTCATTGAATATCCACTGGATATAACTCCAGTGGACATACTATTTTATATAATAATGTGACATATGACATACGTAATATAATTTCTGTTTATTGTGTGTCAAAGCATGGCACTAAAAAAATATCGATTTTCGTATTAGAAAATAGTACTGTTGAAGATTTCAAATTTCCCATACTGGTGACGTCACGTCCACGCGACGCCGATCGGGCCGATCCGCATGCACATCGCATCTTGTATAGACTACAGATAGATCGCGTGTTGCTATAAATAACAGTTTTCCGCCAAAAAGCAAAATTTTAGATTTATTGTGTATAGTGCAGTAAACATTTGGTTTTCCTATTAAAGGTAAGAACGTTTTATTTATTTAATCACTAAACGTATGCTACGCACATCTTAATAATTATTTGTTTGTGTGGCAATTTGACATAACCTCAATATTATATACCGGGAAATTGCATTATGCCGAAAATTTTACAAAAAACGTACAGAAAAGCGAGAGACATGGTCGATGTTTCAATATACATGGCCTCATCTTCTACTTCATCTACTTGTAATAATTCAGATGTAAAAAAAAATACCGAAATACCTCATAGATCATTAATTGAAGACGACGGTTCAGATCATATGCAATTATTGATAACAAATCAATGTGTCTACCAAGAATCAGTTATTGATGTGAACACATCTACTTCTTCATTGTTCAACTCAGATTATTCATCTGATTCTGCTACATCCGAAGATGAATCGAGGCATTTTGATAACGACGCCGATGACCACGACTCTACTAAAGTGGAGATGGGTAATAAGCCAATCGATTTGAATTCACAAATAAGTGAATGGGTATTCAAACACAACATTACTTTGTCGGCTTTATCAGATATTTTAAAAATCTTTAAAAATGGTGGCGATTACAATAATTTGCCATCAGACGGTAGGACATTATTGAAAACTCCTAGATGTGTGTTAAAAGAATTGGTTAATCCAGGGGAGTATTATCATTTCGGTTTGTTAAATTGTATAGAAAGACTTCTTGCAAAGTACAAACTTTCCCATTCTTTAAAATTAGTTGAAATTTATGTAAATGTTGATGGCTTGCCGATATCAAAAAGTTCTTCTAGCCAGTTATATCCAATACTGTGCTCTCTTGTTCAAAATCCTCAACACGTTGAAACAATTGGACTTTATCATGGAAACGCAAAGCCTGATACCGCTAACTGCTATCTTAGAAAATTTGTGAATGAAGTAGTGTATTTAACGAACAACGGTTTCATTAATAATGGCCACTTCTACAATTTTAAGATTAAAGCATTAATTTTTGATGTTCCCGCTAAATCATTTTGCACTGGTACTGTTGGGCACACAGGTTATAGTTCCTGTTCTAAATGTAACATTCGAGGGATATACCACAATAATAGAGTCTGTTTCCCCCCTGAACGTGATATTCAACTTCGTACACATCATGACTTTATTTCTAAATCTGATCCTGAACACCATGCAAACACTTCAATCTTGGAAGAAATACCAGATTTTGATATGATACAAGACATCCCCCTAGATTACATGCATTTAATTTGTCTTGGGGTTATGCGTAAATTACTTATTCTTTGGACAGGAGCTGCTAAACCTCCCTCTAAAATGTCTTCAAGAGATACTAAAACATTATCTGCTGCCCTAGTAAACAACTCTAGCAATGTTCCATGTGAGTTTGTACGAAAATCTCGATTTCTTGATTCTTGAAGAACTTAAAAGATGGAAAGCGACTGAGTTTAGACAGTTTCTTTTGTATACAGGGCCTGTATTATTAAAAGATATTGTTAGTAGGGACATGTATTTAAATTTTCTATGCCTACATGTAGCTGTAACAATTTTATCGACAAAAAGGTACATCGCTGTAGATCTTGATTATGCTCGTTCTTTGCTAGTATATTTTGTGCAGACGTATGTGACTTTATACGGAAAACAACACGTTTCTCATAATGTACACAATTTACTACATATAGTTGATGATGTTGCAAGATTTGGTCCATTACATAATTTCAGTGCATTCCCTTTTGAGAATTACATGCAAAAAATAAAAAAACATTTGCACAAGCAAGATAAACCTTTGTCACAAATTGTTAAACGGATGACAGAATTAAATTCAGCTACAAGTGATACACTTCCACAAGAAAAACCAAAAAAGGTCGCTTATAATGAGCATAATGATGGTCCATTATTACCGGGAACTTCTTGCCCACAGTATAAAAAACTGTTGTGTGAAAATTATGTATTAAAATTAAAAGAAGGTGATAATTATTGTGCACTGTTGGATGGAACGGTGGTTCAAATTAAAAATTTCGTAACTGGTATTGATGGAGGATTGGTTTTAATTGGGAAGAAATATCGTAATTTAGAAAATCTCTATCACAGGCCATGTAATTCATCTGAATATGGAATCTACTTAGGTAGCAATTTATCAAATCTTAAAATGTGGAATGTGAAGGAAATTGCCTTTAAGTATTTTCCAGTTTATACCTCTGTTAATCAAGTCGAGCATCAAGTTGGTCTCATTCCAATTATTCATTGCAATGAATTTTAAAACAAATGCTATCTTTACCTTTTACGTTTTTAATAATAGGTACCTATATACTTGTTTTTTAGATAATTAATTAAATTAAATTAATTAAAATAATTAAATTCAATTATCCAATTTAATTTATTATATTATTGTTCATTCTCATCCCACCTTGCTCACTAGTTAATATAGTATAGTTAAAGTAGCCATTCAATAATATTAGATTTTTAATGCATGATAGTGTACATACACAATTAAAATGTGTTTGCATTTTACTTTACTAATTTTTCTATTTACATGTCACAACCATCAAAGTTTCAAGATGCCCAACTGGAAAATTGTTAAATTCATAAAGGATTGCACAATCGAGGCAGTTCCATGTACGTGGATTTTAGCAGAAGATAACAGTCTTTGCTACTGGCCACCGGCAACATATACAACGGAGTCTCTTACTGTAGCGCTGAAAAACCATGATGAACCCGAAGACAATTGGCCCTTATATAAGATTTGTCATTATGTAAATAATACATATGGTATGCATATTTTATGTCTTATAGTAATATTGGTAATCTCATAAGTGACAATTATTTCAGAATCATATTCTTTGGCTGTGAGTAAACGGTTAAAAGCTAAGAAAAACAATAATATCGAAAACCTCGCCTCCGACTCCGACACTACTTCCAAGAAAAAAAGAAAACATGTAATGAAAAGAGTCCTGTCTTCGTCGGATGATGACAGTGATGAGAGAGTAGTCAATTCTCGGGTCAGTTGCTTGCCGATGCCACCTAAGAAAAATGCTCGGAAAAATGGTAAACTTATCTTTTTTCGTAGTTTTCTTCCTCTTGTTTTGCGAATATGAATTATGTGTATTTATAGCATTGTGAAAATAATTTGGTTGTAGGTTCTGATACAAATGTATGCAATCATGTAAATGACGAAGTTGAGGAAGTGGATGCCCCTAGACCAATTACTAACATAGGTAGGTATTATTTCAAATTTATAGGATGTAAAATTGATAAATTGTAGATACACCTCAGCGTCCACCTAAAGATCAAAATAAAAATGGAAATACGTTGGGTGCAGGTAATTAACAAGGAAATGTATCCACCAAATAGAGTATAAAATACAATTTTTTAGGTGTCTCTGATGTAAACTACTGTGAAGAATGCAGTTTGTGTCCAAGGCACAGGCAACGGGGAAACGATGCTGAAGGTTCCTATTTCTTCATATTGAAATGTGACAATACCTAATTCTTATCTTTTTAGCTGGATTGAAAATGCAGAAAGAAATATTACGGCAACAACGCCTCATTAAAGGGATGATTATGGATGTAGTAGAAGAATTGCATAGTATTAAAAACAAAAACAATTCAACAACTGAAGTTACTACGAATTCCATTTTCTCCCAATTGACATTGCCAGCCAATGATCCGAATGATTTGGTGGCACTGGAAGATTACTTAAGCGAGGAGAGCAACTTCAAAGCAGCAGTAAAAAGTTTTATTACTACTTAATGGTGTTCTACATAATATATAATTGCAGGTGCATGAAATGTCGAATGTAGGAGGCAATAATTTATATGAATTTGCGAAGCGAATTGTATCTAGTTTCATGACTGACAAAATCGCAACAAATTATACCTATTATGGACTGCGTAACAAACAAAATTTTTCAAAATTACGCCTTTGTGCACTAATCTTGGGTAAGGGGTAGATTTTACACTAAAAAAAACTTATTTTTGGATTTTACAGACGCCAGAAAAATGAATAAGCAATTTGGAAATGCCTCTGTTAAAGAAGTGGAAGAGTGTGTAATGAAATGGTTGCGGAGATCAAAAGAAAGATCTGAATTCAAGTTAAAGAAAAATAACATGAATGATATGTAATTATTAATAAACGTTTATTATTAAAGGCTTCTCTGGTTAAAATAGTTTCGTTAATTTTGTTGTGGTGACTCAATATCCATCACGGTACGGAAGTGAATGTCCATTGTACATACAGAATAAATCGTGAAACTTGTCCACTGGAATTACAAAGATGATATTCATAGGATATCCAAAAAGTCAATTCTATGGATATCCATACTTGTGTCATCTGGAACTCCAATGAATATCCATTGAATGTACATTGTTTTCCATCAGGATATCCACTGGATATTACGACTGCTGGAAACTTTACTTCCATATGATATCCATTGGATATGTTTGTGCTATATGGGAACCAATAAACTTAGGTTAGCTTGTGCCTATCAACATGTACTCTGTCGATAAATTTCTAAATAATATGCTGATTTTCAACGGATAAAAGTTTAAAGGGCCAATGGATCAGAGCCATACGAAGAGAAAAATTTACTCCCACCATAGTGCATTTGCGGGGAATGAAGCCGATTTTAGAAAGGTACCTGCGAAGGTGTTAAACAATAATGCAATACCGAGCGTTTTCGACTTTCCCATTCACTTAAAATAACGTAGAATTCGACATCCTTTATCAGCAAGACAACGGCAATACCTATTTGCCTATTAGGTATAGACGTAACTAAGTACTTACTGGTACTAAGTATATTTCAGATTTTGTTACAAGAAAAATAGCTAAGTCTGTTAAATGTTCCATATGTGCAGATGCGATATTCGCATCAGAGAGTCATTCAAAGCTTTTAACTAGAAAAAATCGTGGAGGATTGTTGCACGTATCAAGCGATGCATTAAAAATTTGCCAAATTGCTGAAAATGTGTTCAAGTTTTTCATTCAATCCACACCACACCGCGTTGTAAACAAAATGGTTATCAGCAGTCTAAGAAAAAATAAATAACAGTTACAGCCCATTTGGGTTTTTGGATAGGCATATATTGAATCAAAATCCGCTAAATAATCATATCTTACTACTTGCATCTTTAGTTTTAAGAGTATATTTTCCCATACGTGTTCACCACCAAAATACACATATAAATCAAATTAGGACTAGAGTAAGGCAGTTATACCTATACCAATTGAGTTCAAATAAAATACCAATAAATTCGATTAAAACAGTTAACAGCTATATGTTATTTTTTTTTTGCTACTAAAATTACAATTAGAATAAACATGGCTAAAGCAAGCTGCAGAACGTACGTCTGCCCCGCGATGAACAGTTGGCTGCCTATCCTATCTCGACAACAGGCGTTTATAGTAAAATCTTGTTACGCGCGGTCTAGTTATAACAAGTCTCTGGCCCCTATAAGGGGATTCATTTGTCGGGAAATGTAAGGTTACTTATACGCCATTCCACAACGTTACTATAGACAAGAAGTTAGAAGCATTCACAGGAAGATGTAGCTTTCGCCAGTACATCCCAAGTAAGCCAAATAGGTATGGCCTCAAAATATTTGCATTGGTGGATTCAAAAACATTTTACACTAGTAATTTAGAGGTTTACGTTGGCTTACAACCAGAAGGACTTTATGCCTTACAGACTTCTCCATTTGCTGTTGTACAGAGGTTAGTTGAGCCTATCAAACGATCGAAACGAAACGTGACCTGCGACAATTGGTTTAGTAGTGTTCGGTTGGTGAATACTCTACTGACAGATTTTAGCCTTACATTTTTGGGAACTATCAGAAAAAATTTCCAACCCAACAAAGAGACCAATAGGTTCGAGTATGTTTGCCTACAACAAAACTGTAACATTGGTTTCATATATTCCAAAAAGGAATAAAACTGTTATACTAATTTCCAGTCTTCATCATGAGGACAAAATTAACCAAGCAACAGGAAAACCCGAAATGGTAATCGATTATAATGAATCCAAGGGAGGAGTCGACACACTAGATAAAATGTGTGCCGCCTACGATTGTGCCAGGAACACACAAAGATGGCCCATGGTCATTTTCTATTCGTTACTGAATATGGCCGGCGTTAACTCTATGGTTTTGTATCAATTACAAAACCCAAGTCAAAATATGCTTCGACGTAAATTTTTGCACCCATTATCTTCGGAATTAGCAGAAGTTTATCTTCGTGTACGAGCAACTCAAGCTAATATTCCTAAAACTATAAAGGACAGAATTCAAGAAATACTTGGGATTGAAGTTACCCTTCCTGCACCCAGTTCTACGAATACGAGAGGTCGTTGCAATTACTGTGACAGAAAAAAAAATCGTCCAACTAAAACGTGCGAGAGATTTATGTGTCTAGAAGATTTAACGTGTGTTTGTTTGGAATGTTATTCACAACAAGAGTTTGCATAATTTTGTTTTTTGAGGTTTTAATTTCAATTAATTTCAATTATGTTTGTTTTTCTATTGTTTCTTAACATGTAACACTGCTTGCAAGGCCTAATAAATATCTTCTTTTGATTATAATTGTTCATATTGCCCATATAAATCATGGAGATACTCTGAAAAACACATATAAGGGTGCGCGGACTCTCAGTCCGCCGCCAGTATTCTTGCTCAAAATAAGACCGCCAGTAACGGAAGGTTTTAAGGGAGTACATACCATATCGACAGTATCCGCGACTTTTCTTTAATCTACCGATTGCGCCCGAGTACGGTACAATCAACACTTGACGCGACACCACTGTCTTCTTTTCTGCTTAACGAAACTGGTAACTTCATATCCATACACAAAACATAAGCATTTCCCATGCTATGAGATGGCATTGATTAATACAGTTTTTCACGTGGCAGAAACGATTATTTTTTATAAAGGTCTGTATAAATTCGAATGAAAGAATTTTAAGAGTTTTTGACTTTTATTGTACAATCGAACCGTGTAATTAACGTACGACGGATAGTTTTGCGTTAATCACTGAACACCTATACTTATCTTTGTTGTCTCTTTATTTACGTTTCAATGGAATTTAATTATAAATGGGAGGACTCTAATGACACTTTCCTAATGAGGTTGTTTTTATTGATATTAATAATAATAATAATCTGTTTTTCAGGAGTGGATTTTTCTCCAAATCTTGAACTAAAGCAATATTTAGTTATTATTTGATTTATCTTTAGGGGAATTTTTCGGATGAAAAAATCCTCCTTATGTGAGAGCTTTGTTCGTCAGTCTGTATGTTCCTCATCTAACTCGAGAACGAAAAAAGATGTCAAACTTTGGCCAAACGATTTCTACGAGCTAAGTTTAATATGAGCCGGATTAAAAGTCAGGTTTCTTGAAAATAGTATGTGATTATTCGTATGTTGTATGCCGTTCCCAATCACATTCTCTTACGTCGATTATATTTTAAAACAGCGTTACTATTCGCATTTCAGATTAACAGTGAGACCTCTGGTGGTAGCACATTGTAATTAACATTGGTGGGATAAGACCGCAGTTTTTTTAATTTACAGAAAAGTAATCAATATTGTAGATTTTACAATCCCAAATCTATATCTTACCATTGTTATTAGCTTTAAAACGAGGACAATAATTGTAGAAAAAAAAACGTAATGAAAAGCGAAGTACCAAAAAGCCTCAGTACAAGTTTACAGAATTGTTGGAAAAAGAATTTCCATTTATCAAACAAATTAAAATTGATGGCAGATGGTTTATTAGAAATGTAATGGTCAGCTTTTGATTTAGTAGGGACAAATGACATAAATAAGCATTTTTAATCGGTAAAACACAAGAGAGCTCTAACAAGTTCGTCTATAATACACACATATTTTCGATAAACAACAATTTCAGAAGGTCAATATGCTTATCATGCGATTAACTATAACCAGAGTTTCTGTGGTTTATTCAAAAAGAAGTTCACTTGCGCCACAACCAAAACCGAGACGATAGTGTGCCAAGTATTTTATCCATATTCAAAAACGAAGCTGGCAGAAGAAATACAGGGTGACAATCGGATGTTTTTAAAACGCTTGATGCATTTTGCATCCGTACATTCGTGAAATTGACGTATTACGAATCGGAGCCTGCAAACTGTGCGCACTGGGCTAGTGTGAAGATCATTCTTTGTTGGTGTCTTCCTAGACGAAACTATATTTACAGTTGATAGGATAGGGACGTGCTGTGTGCCATAAAACGGCTCGCCAGTCAACTTCTATCGCCAGTAAAAACTCACTCATCTGGCTAATAATGTAAAATACTATTGCGGTGTCTGTCCGTCCGTTAGCACGACAACTCATAAACGAATGGACCGATTACGATGAAATTTTGCAGGTGGATTCTTTATCAAATTTCAAAATGGTGACTCCTTATGACCCCTCTAAGAATCATCCTGATGTTACAACCTTACCCGATACTTTACTGCTCCAGGAATAAATACACCTACGTTGGACATAACGGCCAGTGTACAAGAGAATACCGCAGCTACGTTGTTCTAACCGCGTACGTCATCCTCCGGAACGTTTAAATTTATAAGTTGGGGAGGAGTTGTGATTACATTCTAAACTTATGCGATTTTATAATTTAATTGGGTAAAATAGCATGTGTATATAAACAATTAATTAATAACTTCAATATAAAATAAAAACTAGTCTTGTCATACAATTCTCTTTAAGCGTTTAATTCCTACAAAATACAACAACATATAATTACATAACAAAAACCACCCCAATTTAATTAAGATATAGGAAGATTAACCAGAGGTAGGACAGAGGAGAAGAACTAATTTTGTAACACCGTTCCAGTTGGCAATATGTGTTAAAATCCCCCGTGTAAAGAACAGTATCACTACTGAGATTGATCGATTCAAGTAGGTAGTTCAAAGAAGATTGTATTGGGGGGGGAACAGTTGAACCAGCGCTTAGCCCTTATTTTAAAAGCTTAAGAAACGTTTGTATGACAGCTATTCGAAGAGAAAGGGAATGTTATATAAAGGATGTTTTAGATGCAAGTTCGAATAACCCACAAAATTTTGGAGAAACCTTGAAAACTTCCAAATCCATAGGTCTAATAAACCACATGTTGCTTCTTTCCAACTTGGCATACTATGCGCTCCCTGACAACT